ACTACAGACGTGTGAGGAAGGCAGACGATGTCTTAGAGTCATTATGAAAATAATTTTGACTGTGTGGCCCCTGAAAGGGCCTTGGGCACTCCAGGCTTCCCTGAACCACATTTGAGAGCAGCTGGTTTAACCAGCATCGACTGAGGCACCTGCTGTGTGCCCCGCACCGTTCTCGGTGAGAGAGAGTGCAGCGTGCACAAAACCTCTTTGGGTTTTTGAGGCATTCTGTTCTGTCCCCTACATGGAGAATGGACCGTGGTGGGGTCATTGGAGTCAGGGGGCCTGCCAGGAGAATGTGGTGGCAGTGGCCTTGACCTTGCTGGTGGCTGGGCTGGTGGAGAGGGGAGTCAGAGTCTGAATATGTTCAGACGGGACAACCTGCAGGATTCGCTGGTTGATGGGGATGGGAAAGGAAAGTGCGGCACTTTGGCCTGGGCCCTGGGGGGCTTGGTTGCATCTACTGAGCCAGGAAAGGCCAAGAGAGGAGCAAGTTTGGGGAGAAATCAAGCATTCAGCCTTGGGCACGTGCAGTTTCAGGTGCCTCTTGGGCATCTGGGTTGAGAGAGCGGGGTCCAGATGAAAGTCTGGGTTGGAAATTTGGGGAACAAAGTCTTGAGTTGCTTTGGCGGGGGGGTGGTTTGAGGAGCCAGTCAGGGCATATGGCCACCTGCAGTCCGGAATTGGAGCTGGGCCCAGCAAGGAGACTGAGGAACCTTGGCCTTGGAGGGGAAGGAATGAGAGGGCCCCTAAGGAACGTGTCAGAGAGGACAGAGTCCTGGGGAGAGCTGCCGGCGGCTGGAGGAGATAAGGACTGAACACATCTGGATTAGGTCTGGCCACTTGAGGACCTTGGTAAGGGTAGGTCTGGGGGCCCAGGAGCCTGAGTATCTGACCTCGGTGGTTCAAAAGAAAATGGACGGAGGAGTGGAGATAAAAAAGGGAAAGAAGAAAGGGAGGTAGAGGGTCAGGGTCTCTGAGTGAGGAACAGCCAAGTGACAGTCGTTCTTTCGTCGGCAGGAGCACCACATACACACACACCCGTCCCGTTTGCTTTTTTCCTTTGAATGGCAGGAATTCAGGGCTCCCTCTGATGCTCAGTTGTAATCATCGTCTCGTGCTAGGTCCCCATAGGATTATTTTCTGCCCCTCTGTGGTTTCGTAACTGTACTCTTTACATTTCATTACACTGACACTGATGCATTCTCCCTGCTTCTCACTGTGTAAATTACAAACACACGGAAGAGTTGAAAGAGTACTACAATGGATATCCGTGTATCTTCTGCCCAGATCCAACAGTTTTGCCGTATTTGCTTCATCTCTTTCTTTCTAAATTTACATGAGTTTTTTGGGTCATTTGAGAGCAAGATAGGCCCCTACCAGAGTGAAGCACGTGTGTCCCTAACACGTATGTCCATCAGTCTCAGAAGTTTCCTGGTTCCCTTTCATAATCCCTGCCCCAGCCAGTCCCCAGGCAACCACTGGGGTGCTCCCTGTCACCGTGGGGTAGTGTGCACTTTCTACAGTTTCATAAAAATGGAATCAGGTTTCTTGGTCTGGTTTGTTGAGACTCATCCATGCTGGGTGCGTCAGCAGTTTGTCCCTGTCTGCTGCCAAGTGGCAGTCCACTGTATGGAGGTATCACGTTTTGCTTGTGCGCTCATCTGCCGGTGGACGTTTAAGCCGTCTCCGGTTTGGGGCTATTATAAATAACGCTGCAGCGAACACTCGTGTCAAGTCTGTGGATAGTCGTCTGCTTTCTTTTCTCTTGAGTGAACAATATTTACCATAAACACCTAGGAGTGAGATGGCTAGATCACATGGTAGGTGTACCTTAGACTTTTCAAGGAACTGCCCAACTCACCCCAAGTGGCTGTGCCATTTTCTGTTCCCACCGGCAGCATGTGAGCCCCCCACTTCCTCTACGTCCTCCCCAGCACTTGGCGGGTGCAGTCTTTTGACTTTACCCGGTCCGATAGGTAGATAGTGGTAGTGAGCTAGCTTTGTGTGTCCAT